TAAAAATCGAGATCTAAAAACAAGTGACACATGATAAAATAAAAATATATATATTAAAATTAATAGAAAAACTTATCAAAACAACAAAAAAGTAAAAAGAAAAAAAAATAGAAAAAAAAACGAATTGTAAATACAGTTGAGAAAATATACCTTTGATTGCTCTCTTAAATTCAATACCGCTATTATTTTTAAAAGTTTGTATACATCTTGACAATTTTTTTTTTTAATTAATTGATAAATTGTAATTTAGGGTGAAAGAGAAAAATGGTAGAGTTAGGGTAAATAGAGAAGGAGTAAAAGTTTGAGAGGGGGAAGATAAACTGTTATTAATTTGTTTGTGTAATTGAAAATTTGTATAATGAAATTTAGTGAAACCCAAGAGACCAAATGAAAATTGATACTTATCTTTTATGAGGGGATTGAATCATTTAGGAGATTTTTTATTTTATTTTTTTTATTATTATTATTGGAACCAGAGGAAAAAAAAATCAGGAAAATAGGAAGAGGATAATTGTCCTTTAAATTTCATGTTTTAAAATATAAGTATAGATTTTTTTTGATGAAAAAAAAAATTTTCTTGAATAGGCATGATTAGGGGATTGAGATGGAAGAGGTGAAGGGAGTTTAAAGGGAGTATTATTATGCAAAAACAATTGCATAACGAGGGGTAAGGGCGTAATTACATGTAATGTATATTTTTGACTTTAGAGTAGCTCCATTGAGTGATCAATAGTACCATTGGGTGATCAAATAGTACCGTTGAATATTCAGTGGTACAATGTATGTATGTATGTAGTGGTACTATGTAAGCATTCAGTGGTACTAACTACGTGCATATATTGTATCACTAAATAACCAATGGTATTACATAAGCTTTTAGTGGTACAATTAAAAGTTGTCCCACTCACTTTTCTTTCTCCTCCTTTCTCTCTTTTCCATGTGATTTTTAATATTTTAGTATTTGTTATGCATTTGCAAATGCATAACAATACTGCATTAGTACTTCCTCAGAAGAGGTTTTTTTTTTTTGTTGTTCTAAGTAAAAAAAAAAAAAAAAAAAAAAAGCATAACAATACTGCATTAGTACTTCCTCAGAAGAGGTGTTTTTTTTTTTTTTTTTTTTTTTTTTTTGTTGTAAGTATATATATATATATATATATATATATATATATATAACAGGAAAAACAGTGGGAAGACAAGTGTCCCTCCAACTTCCTGTTTTAAAATAATAGTATTGATTTGATTGACTTTACAAGGAGATCAAGGTAACTAATTGGAATGTAAAGCATATAAGATTACCTTTTATCCTTTGAGGAAAATTAGCACAAGGCCAACTTGACTCCCCGAATCACAAATGGTTTGAAATTTAAGTATTTATCTTACGATCTAAAAGGTCCACACATGCACACATGAATCAAGGCTCGGTTATTTAAAATACAGGCAATAACTCTATACATACAATTTTCATCATTCCAATTAAGTACTTGACTCGACTTGACCCGTCTCGAGTTAGATTAGGGTTCAATATTTTCTCACCCAACACCTACGCTTATTTGTCCGAGGTAAAACATGAGTACACGACCTAAATCCGAAGTCACTCAAGAGCACATAAATGACATAACAAGAGTAGAAGTTGTAGTTGTGTATACAAAGCCCAAAACACTTTTTATATTTCAACTACTAGACAGCCCAACTTGACCCAACAAGGCCTAACCCAAACACTCCAAACTAGGGTTTCACTATAAATTATCATAAAACCTCCTTGTAATCTTTTCCTCTTGAAAACCTCTCCTTTTCTCTTTCCTCAGTATTTTCCATCGATTAGGGTTTTGAAGTCGCCGCCTTTTTCGTCTGATCACCATGAGAGCCAAGGTAATTCTTCAATATTCTCATTCAATTCATCAATTCAATTATCAACTTCAAATTGTTAATATTATCCATTAATTTCGACGCTTCTTTTCATTGATTTTGATTGTTTTTTCGTCGATTTTGCAGTGGAAGAAGAAGCGTATGAGGAGGTTGAAGAGGAAGCGCCGAAAGATGAGACAGAGATCTAAGTAGAACGTCGTTATCAGCTGCTGTGTTCGGTTTTAGATTTCCGTCGTTTATTTTGTCTTATTTCGTCAAATTATCAGCTATTTTTGTAGCTTATTGTCTGGTTTTAGGTACTCAGTTTATGGTTATGTATGGTACGTTTTGTTAAACATGATGATATTTTCGGTATTGGAGTATTTTACATAATTTTCGAGTTTTATCCTCTTTTATATGCTTAATTTCATATTGTTCTTGAGATTTCTTAATTGCATTAATTTATTTAGAATTTGAATTAAATGAGAATATACTATATGAATCTTGTCATACCCTAAAAATGCTAATTATAATCTAGTTGAATTTATTGAATCTTATTTATTTATTTTTTTTTCCGTGATTGGAGGTAATAAATTGGATTAGGGTTTTGTTTTTTGGGAAGTCGTTTGTGCTTCGGTTTTGAATTTCGTTGAATTGAACTGTAAAGGAGCTTGTTAACACAATTTTACTGTCAATGCGTGTTACCAATCAGTTTTTTTTAGAGAGAGTAAAGGAGACCTGTGGATTCAATTTGGTTGCAATTCTGTTTTTGTTTGGAATGGAAATTGTAGTATGCGTGATTCGGCTGAATGTCTGTTTTCACATGGGATGGGACTGTGAAGTATTTGTAGATTAAATGTGTTGTGGAATTGCTTGCTTCAACTAGTGATCTCTATATTGTTTGAGGGAGCTATGGCGATAGATTAGTTGTTTTATAGCGTGTTTTAGTATTGTTAAGTTATAGTAAATGATTGGAAAGGCTTGACATCGGAGGTCTTTGTGAGGAAGGTTACAAGAATTTGTAAATCTTTTGTGAGTAATTTTGGTCCGAGGTGATGATGCTGCATAAGGTTTTATTAGGATTGAGGAGCTAAATGCAAAGGTTTAATCATTGTTAGAGGAAAATCCTTTGGAGGTTATTGTACAATGAAGTATGGAAATAATAAACTTATTTGCTACAAAAGTACCTATTAGTTGATGACAGAATTAAGGAAGTGCCATGAAGAAGTCTTCTTGCACTTTGCTAGTGGTTTGGTATTTATTGCACTCTTTCTGATTATGAGTTTTCTATGAGGTTAATCTTGTGAAGAGAAACTGTTGAAGCAAGGGAAGAGATCTGGCTAGAGGGGGGAGATTAAGATTTTAGTCTACATACTCCAAGGATGTAATTTGATCAGAATTGTCCTGGCCTTGTTGCCATTTTGGAGTTTGGAGTAGAGAAGCTTGTCGTACTCAAGTTTCTAAATACTTCGTATGAATCTCTAGAACTCATGGTGCGCTTGTGTTCCCAAAACAAGAAACTTCAAGTAAACATCTGCTTGGTCTCTGTTGATGTGCCCGGGCAGTTATTCCATAGTCCATCCATTGAAGGGGAGCTATGATTTTGGTTGTGAAATGTCTGGTAGCACCCGTAGCGGTTTTGAGCTTTGAATGTCTTTTTTTAAACACCTATTGTGTACAGGATCATAAATGTTCAGTGGTATACTTCGTGTTTCAATTATTATCTGTGATTGCTAAATTATAAAACTTCTGTCTTGCATTAGAGCTTAAAGTAGATCAATGTAATTAGCATAGATTAAGTTTGGGTCGTAGTTTGTTGCATTTTAATATAATAGTTTATTCTTTAGATTGTTCTCATTTATATTCACTAGGCCTCCTTTTCAGTGGGACAATTTCTGCAAGTCTGCAACCACATTTCCTCAAACATGGCATTGGCTCAATTTGTTAATGACATAATAGATTCTTTGGCAGAGTTTTAGTTTCATAATCTTGAATAATAGATGCAAGTACTCTAAAAAATTAATCAGTGCTTTTGAAATCGTGTTATTTAGGGAAAAAATTGGTTAAAATGTTGTTTACATGGGTTGATTTACAATATGCAATGGATATTATGATCATACATACCAAAAGAGAAGGGATATCTGCAATTCAGACGATCATACTTGTAGCTCCTGACAATTTAATAACGTAATTTACCACCTAAATGGTTCATACTTATTGATTGTAAGCAATTTATTAATCTCAGCAATTCGGTAACTAGTTAATTTAAATGAAACAATATTATATGGCAATTAACCAAAAGAGAAGGGACTAATTCAAATCATTGCATATCTAAACCATACTACTCTATGGACCTCCAATGAGCGACAAGATTTGAAGGTACTCTGAATACTATAAATAAATAGTTAAAAACTAGTTGCCGTAAAACCTCGAAACCCTGTCAATTCCAATTAAGCGCTCCCTGTTCAAAACCTTGAAACCCCGTTTATTACTGCTCAGAATCTCCTTTCGTTTGTGTATATCCAGCAATATTGACTTTCTTCCAAAAATATGGAATTCCACAAGCATAGCAGCAAAACATTTGCACTGAGGCTCCAATTAGTTTGACGAAAAAAAAGAACATTTTCAAAGGAAAATACTTTTTTTCAAGGTGATACATTGATTGCAAAACTTTTGTTTTGTTCGGTTACTCACAAGAAAATTAAAATGAAAAGATAAGGGAGATTGACTTTCACCTTTTGTAAACCAACCAAAGGAAAATCATTTTATCGTAAATGTTTTAAACCAACACAACCAACCAACTAAACACTCGATGAAAGTAAAGCCTCGAGAAAAAAGAGACCAATTCTATGCAATTAGTAAAACAAAAGGCTTGGATTCCATTTACTGCCAAACGTTTTGTGCATACAATGATACATTAACTTCTATCTATATGAACATACAACACAAAAAGCCTAATTCCCTCCTCCCTAAATTCACAGCGCCAAGCCACTAATGCCATGCACATTTGAAAATGCACAGGTAACAATAGCATGGTCTTTACTGCTATGATTTCCATCTATTTTAAAATGGTTAACACTAAACAACTACCTTTGAAGACAGCACTTGTTGCAGCTTCATCATCAAAAGGCAAACAAAAATACACCGTCTTTTTATTCCCTCTCCAAGAAAGATGACTCAGCGAGATCAATTGCACGAGCAAGGCCAGCAGCCTTGTTTTCACACTCTCTTTGTTCATCTGCAGGGTCACTGTCAGCCACAATGCCAGCCCCAGCTTGAAGGTGGGCCACCCATTCTCTTCTTCGAGCATCCTTGTATGAATACATTGTATCATATCGCATTGCAGTTGAAAACACCATAGTTCTCAAAGCAAGAGCTATGTCCATGTCACCAGTGAATGAGATTCCACCAAATCCACCACTATATGGCCCTCGTCTATTGACTTCAAGCTGATCTATCAACTCCATAGCTTTAACCTGTTCATTTTCCAGTGGACAATAAGCATACAGAGGATACCTCACAACAATATAATAACTTATGGACCAATGTCATCGAAAGAAGCCAGACTTCAACATAAAATTCTAAGTGTAACTCAGATGGATTCCCATAGGGGCTGAAACAGTAAGCATACATGTCACATTGTCACACAAACACAATATACTTAAACAGACAATGTTCGGGATTTTATGTCCCAAAAAGATTTTCCCAGGTTCCAGTTATATCAAATAATGGCTACCTTAAGTGCATAAACTGGTACTTGATTTCATGAATCCTTCAATCATTAGAATTCTAAAAAAAAGTCTAAAACTACTAAACACGCAATGACTTCTAACCTAGAGATATCAACTCATTACTGGAAAAAATATATTTTCAAATGTCAGCAACTTCTTCAGTAATTTCTTTAGAGAGGGGGGAAAGGGGATTTTCAAATCAGATCTGGAATTAATCAAATAGAAGTTTCACAAAGATTTCTTATTTTGGTTACACAGATTTTTCTGGACTACAAAAATTATAGCTGCCTACTACACAGATGAATACTTTCCCTTTCCAAAGTCTTGACACACAAAATGAACTAGACAACTAGGCAAGACAGCATCCCACACTCAACCACATGCAAAAGCTGTCCAATAACTACTCACAAACTCAGACATACATGAAGGATCGTATCATTTTAAAAAATAAAAGAGGGACAGGAAAGAGAGGCAGGAGCAGAGTAAGAGGGGCACCTTAGGTGCTCCGCTAACTGTCCCAACAGGTAAGGCAGAACGCAAAACATCCCAACTACTTAAATCGTCAAGCATTTCCCCTGTCACCTGAGAGATAATCAACATGTAAACAAAACTAAAATGAAAGAAAGCAGTTGGGGAGGGGGGGGGGGGTTAAGGAGAGTATTACTCACTGTAGAACTGATATGCATCACGTGGGAGTACCGCTCAATATTCATAAGCTTTTCCACATTTACAGAACCAAATTTAGAGACCTGTTTGAACAGTAGTAATCAGATTCCAAATCAAACATATCATACAAAGAAAAATAAGGAAATTTAACATGTTATTCCAAAAACAAAAATAATACTTGTATTTGTTAAACTATTCACAGTATTCACACAAGTTAAATTTGAAATAAAATATATAGCAGTGGGATATGAAAAAACCTTTCCAACATCATTCCTCCCCAGATCAACCAACATTATGTGCTCAGCACATTGCTTTTGATCATTCAAAAGCTGACTTTCCAGCATGGAATCTTCTTTTGGTGTTTTTCCTCTTCTGATGGTTCCAGCTAAAGGTCTGTTAGTGATCTTTCCCTGCAAAGTTTACAGATGCAAAAGCATTGATACAAAGTGTAAAATGGAATTGAAATGGCTACAAAGACACATACGTGACAACTAGCACACCAACTGTGATACAGAACATTAGTACATCACTATTGAAATTGATAATCAATATACACAGATTCGAATGTTGTAACCAGATACCGGCAAAGGGAAAGATTGAGTAAGCATTGAATGAGCAAGAGCATTCAATTAGAATTGGAAAAATAACATCAACAAAACTTACTTTTTTGACACGAGTCAAAATCTCAGGGCTTGAGGCAACCAAAATACATCCTCTTGCCTGACATGTAACAATGAATGAGAGGTAAGCATAAGGGTGGCTATAAAAAAAAAAATATATAATTTAAATAAGGACAATACATGCCTGTAGATATCCCATATATGGACTTGGGTTAACGATTCTTAATGCCCTGTATACTTCAAATGGATCTGCAAACGTTCGTCTCTCAAAACGTTGACTTAATACTATTTGAAAGATATCACCAGCCAAGATATGTTCCTTGGCTTGCAAAACAGCTTCTTTGTATTCTTCACAAGACATATTTGACGTCTTGAGTGTACTACCAAACAGGCGAGTCTGTAATTTTATGGAGCCAGAGGGCAGCCTTGGGCTGAAATGCACAAAAAGACAAGCACAACATATAAAACGAGACAAAATGTCATATGATACTATAAATCACACAAAACTTGATAAATTACTCACGTTACTATGTCATGCACCCTTGACATCAAATACTCTAGGCGGTTAATTCCATCTTTATAAGCCTCCTCTGCAGAAGAAAAGCGATCCACACGAACCCAGTGTATCACATATGCTTTCTGAGGTCACAAAGTAATCCTATGATTACAAGGCAATATTAAGGAGAAACTATAGTTCTAGTTTTTTTTTCTTATAAAACCCTAACATATGAATTTTTTTTTTATTACTACCCCTAACCACAATCAAAATCAATGTCACTTTCACTTTTATAACCATTACAGCTAGACTTTCACTTAATCCTTGCTATTATATCCATTATCTTTGTTCAAGTACATTAATTCTTCCATATATATATAAATATCCACTTGTTCAAGACTATTAACTTCGGTTTGATAGAAATAAAATGATACAAAAGAAAAACCAAAAAACATAAACAAAAACAAAACTTGCGCAGCCATGACAAGTGCAAAAGGAAAAACATAACAATCATAAGCATACCTTCTCCACATGATCAAACACAATGACATTGTCATATAATCCTAGATGCATGTCAGGAAGGTTCCTGTCATCATGAGGTGCACTTGAAAATGGGAGCTTCTTCTTCTCCACATAACGAACCGTGTCGTATGAAAAATAACCAACCCATCCACCTAACCGAATAACAAAAGAAACATAAATCCTTGCATAAAGTTGCAGACATCCAAATATGCAATATGAACATACTTATAGCGTAGGTTCTAATCTATATTCCAGGTTCCCTCCTGGTAATGAAGAGCATCTATTCTCTAGTAGCGAGTAAAATTTGTTATTTTTTATGGACAAAAGATTAAATTTCATCGCCTTAAATGCACATAAATCATAGAATTAATGGAGGATCAGACATTTGCATGATAATGCAATATCATACAACTGCTAGTTATATATAAATGAAAGATGACAATCACACAAAGATAAAATCAAGTAAAAGTAAGGAGCTCAACTAAGACTACACAATAATGTGCAGTGTTGTTTCTTGAACCAATGTAACAGAATTATGCTATGCTATAACTGAGCACAACAAACCTCAAAGGAGAGGATCAGTAGTCATTTTAAGCACGTGAACAGACAACAATAATTGTGTGTCAGTACAATCATTTCATATATACTTGGAAACATATAGTCCTTTTCTTTTTATTTTTCTTTTTATTTATTTATTTATTTATTTATTTGTTTGTAAATAACTTACCAATATCCCACGCCACGAATTGGTTGCATGACACGCTGACGTTTCATAAACAGAAACAACCACCGTAACTTACTCAAGAAAACGACAATATTCGAATATAGTATAATATGTTTGCCAGATTACACGCAAAAACTCACTACTACAAAACCGTTAATGAGTACATAAATGCATACAAACGTGGGCATCACTCCAAGTAAACCAACACCGTCATGATGAAAATAATAAGTGAGAGATGCATGCTAGACATCTCAAGACCTTAAACCATAAATAACTTTCATTTATAAGCAACCTAAATCCAAGACTCAGGTTATTAATTTAGTCTTACACCCTCTTGCAATCAGAATTACAGAAAATAAAGACTCTTCTATGCATAAAATTATCTCATCACAGCATTAAGCCAATAACATGTTGTAAATTCAGTCTAAAGATTAGAATAAATAAGCAATCAGTATAAAATCAAGTAAAATCAAAAACACCTTAAAGGAAGCAAATCATTCAGATTCTCTCACCACAAAAGACATCAGGAAGCTCATCAATCAGCTGAGGCTTCCATTGCTCCATAATCTTCCTTGGGACATCCATTGGATCTTCGACAGACTCCTCAGTCCTCTTCCCTTCATGGTGGTCCATCATTGTCACCAAATTCTCTTTTGCCACAATTTCCATGCTCGGCTGAGCCCCAACAATGCTGTATCGTCCCTACAAAGCCCAATATCACATATAATCATCCTCACTCACTTTGCCATCTTTTTTTTTTCCGTGTATGTTCACCCAAGTATTTGAATTATTATGTAAAACAAGTCTTTTCAAGTAAATTAATACCAAAAAAATTAAAAAAAGCCACGTTATATAAACACATATAACTCTACCAAAAAAATTCATAATTTATTACACAAATTCTACAGTTTTGCAACTTCTGTTGTTATTATGAAAAAGCATAAAAGACATTTAGAGCTGGCTGACCAACTAACAATTTTTTTCTTGCTTATTCACAAATCATGCACATTAATTATAATTATGAAGCAAATTAATAATAAGAACCACTATTCCAATATTAATTTTACTTTAACCATATCAGCTCTTCTTAATTACTACATGCAACACTTGTGTCATAAATTTTGACTCGAATTAAAAATAAAAAATAAAAATGAAAACAAACAATTGAAAGCGAACTAACAATCAATAATCAAAATAAAAAGAAAAAGTGATTGATTGATTGATACCACATGAGAATTCAAAAAACCAGGTTCAACAGCCTCGAACAAAAAACTAGGAGCTTCTCTATCATCCTCCTTCACCAAACAACGATAAGCCAAAACCGGAGTCAAATGATCGGAAAAAATACATCGATATAACGGAATTAAATTCCCGTCTTTCGCAGCTTCAATGAATTCCGCCGAATTCTTTACTGCATTGTTCAATCAAACAATCAATTAACCAAAAAAAATCACAAAAATTTTAATAAAAAAAACAATGAATTAATTTGAAAAATACCAAGCGAAGGAGAAGAAACAGCGGAGCAGGAGAGAGAGCGGCGAGGAGAGAGAAGATGAAGAGGTTGATTGTAGCGTCGGAGATGAACGGCTGGAATTGGAAGGGAGGAAATCCGACGGTGGTGATGAGGAGAGAGAGGAATGCGAGGTGTAACAGCTAGGGCATCCATTGTTGATGGTGTTGAAAAAAGCAGAGAAGAGAACATTATTCAACAGTACACAGAAAATTGGAGGAGAGAGAAAGAAGGAGGGAAGAGCCGACAAATAGGGTGGTCTCTTATGGTGTTATATTGTCAAATTATAAACTGAAAAACTCAAAACTGTGATGTAGTAATGAAGAATTTTATTTTAATTATTTGTAAGGAGAAGAGGGTTTTTGCCTCATTTTCTGCTTTTTTAAACAAACAAGACTTTGAGGTTCTCGTCAACCCACAGTATTATGGCTCTATTCATTGAGATTGCCCCCACGATTTTTTAAATAAATTAACATCTTTATCCAATCACCATTATCTGTGTAGCTCATATTAATAAAAAAATTATTGATTTATTTACAAAAATGTCATGAGAGATACAGTGTTTGTTTATCGCTGAGAAAAAACTTGTATTTTCTCCTATTTATTTCACCTAATTTTATGATTAAACTTATTTTGTGAAGAGAACTTAACCTATCTAGTCCATACCATTTCAATATAATTTGTTCTCTTCGTTTTATTTTTGCCGAATTGTTTTTTATTTAAAACCACCAGCAGAGATTATATTAATGGAGGTCGAGCTCCGCCAAAGTTTCGAGGCATTGGGGGAACAAACCTAGGCAAACAAACTCATTACTACCTCTTGAGTCCCATCTTGCAACTATTTTTGCTAAATTGAAATAATTATTATTAAATTGGAAAAAAAAATTACTAAATTGAAAATAAATTAATAATTTGAAATTAAATTTTACTGATCCTCTCTTATATTTTACTGTTATTAATTTTACATATTTACGATAAAGATAATAGGGTCTTGAGAATTTGCGTTTACTTTGTACTGTATTGAAAACATGTCTTTGAGAAATTATTTTTTTTTCTTATAAAATATACCACATATTAAGGTAAGTTATAGAAAATTAAACAAAGCTAATACTTTGTAAAATCTTATGTGATAAAGTTTGCAACAATATACATTGAGCCAAATCTAATAGAATCTAATGTGATTATAATTTGCCTAATTTTTCATGGGCACAAATGCACAATACACATAAAACGTACAAGATTCTTGTAAATCATTTTAGAATGGGAATCTTTCTATATTTAATCAATGTACATGGAATAAGTTTAAAATGTGTGTTACATACGTATTAAAAGAAAATTGTACCCAACTTTGGGGTATATTAGGAGCAAAAGCTTGTGATGTTTGAGGCAGTCTCGATCTTCGTCATGTCTAATTGGAGGAGTTAAGTGGTGTGGTTTGGTCTCAATTTGTTCTAGACAAGCCTTAGTAACTGTAGTAGTTGTAGTTTGTGTTCCTTTTAAATTTGTTGTTTGTTTTCTTTAAGGCTTGTCCCTCTCTTGCACCCAAAATAAAGTATTTTAATTTGGAAGGAATTTAATGGTTTTGCGTCCAAAATTATAATTTTAGCTACACATAAATTGTAATCTACTTTAAATACCTTATACTCGTATGTACTTAACGAATATAAATCTTTTTTATTCATAATATCCGGTCTTTTCTTTCAAAAATAAAAATAAAAATTAGATGATCAAATTAAGATGTGAATAAAAATATAGCCAAACTTAAGGACCACAAATTCCCAAATGGAATGGGTTTATCATTCGAAATGACCCATTCCAACCTGAATGACAATTACCAGATTAGCACACACACGAGTCTAATAGGCGCTTCAGATAGTGAAAAAGACATAGGTCCACTTGTTATTCTTAGCTTAATTGATCTGCTTGCCCAATCAAACCAGGCCTAAGCTGAAGAATAGTGTATCACTTTATGGCTCACTAGGCCCAATCAAATCGTATCATTATGACTGAGCTTTCAGCCCAAGTTCATCACTGTGTAGCGTGTAAGGGACAAAAAAAAAAAAAAAAAAAAAAAAAGAGGACCATGTAATATTAGGCTTCTATAGTTTCAAAATAATTGCTCAATGTGTTGGGCGCATAGATTTAAATAAACTGCTTTAATTTAGTTTGGCTTATTTAAGTTAATCCTCTTTATTAACTTATTTCAGAAATAATTGGACCAAATCAAATACGAGTATTTTCTTTTTACAATATTTTCTTTTGATTATTGTTAAATGTTTTATTTTCGCAACTTAAAAAATTATTATTTTTTTATAGTTGGATGGTGCATATTGATACGAATTTTAAAGACATCTCCTTTAACAAATTTTTATCTTATAAAATAGTAGTAAAAAAATCAAGGTATCAATTTGGTCAAATATGAAAATTAGATTCACGTGAATTGAACATAGCTTTAATATAAACTATGGAGTGCTTCATTCACATACTGTTTTGCCTTTAAGTTATTTATTTATTGACTCTAATAGTCATATATAGATAATCTAATAATAATATGTAAGAAAGTTTTGGAATGATCTTCATCTATTATGTTAATCATGTTACATCTATCATAAAGCGGATATACTACCTCCGGTTCTTATTACTCGCAACAAAGGGGTATTATTTGCGAGACATAAAATGTTGCTTTGGTGCAAGTAATAAAATTCAGAGGTAGTAATATGTGAAATAGGGTGGTGAATCACGAGTCATTCTAGGGGCTCCTCGAAAAGGGGTTATTTGGCACATATTTGGTCATTTTAACATTACATTTCTCTTTGTTACCAAAAGCATGATGTGATGAGCAATTCCAAAAGATTTACTAATATATGTGAACAATTAAAAGTTCCACGCATTACAGTAAACTAAGATGTAAAAGCATAATACGTGTGCCTACCTTATAAGTTGTAACATTAGGAAATTTTGCAACCATTTAAAAAATGTATACTCAATTGCAAGACCCAAATTATGCAACCTTAATTCCACACAACATCGAAAGACTTGATATAGACCCGTAACAAAGTTGACTCAATCAAATAAAATTTGTCACGTGTAATATTTATCTCTATTAGATAATTTGACAACAAATATTACATTACTTAACCTTTAAATTAACAATTTATAACCCTCATGGCCACATATGACATAGTTTGACTTTCTCACTCAAAACCAAATTGAAAACCCAATATTCATTTGAGTTGTAATTCATACCTAACAATAAAAGTTGAATCTACTATTACTCTTTTCGTTTCAAAATAATAGTTACATTTTACACTAATCTTAAAATACATTGAGTAAATATATAAGTAATATAACCATCGTTTCAAAAAGCTCTTACACGTAGTAAATTGAATTGGTTGCAAAATTAATAAAGGCCCAACAAAATATCTTCATCACTAATCACCACTCCGTATGACTGAATTATCAGCCGAAAACCACGTAAATAAAAAAATCAAACAAACATTAATTAATTCCAAAAATAATTTAACCCTCACAAAACTTTTCACCCATTTAAAAAATCACCACGTTTTACTTCCATTAAATCACAACCGTCCACCTCACCACAAATCCACAAAACCCTACTTATAAAAACCCACCACTCAGATTTCACCCCCTTTTATCTCCACATTTCCCAACTCTTTTTTTTTTACCACTTTCTTCTACAGTTGATCATCATCATCTTTTTTCTTCATCATCAAAAATGGCAGTCGGAAAAAAAGTTGTAAAATCAAAGATGGAGAAGAAGGAAATTTACAGTGCAAAACTCAAAAAATTGATCGATGAATACTCTAAAATTCTTATTGTTTTTGCTGACAATGTGGGTTCGAATCAACTCCAGCAAATTCGTCAAGGTTTAAGGGGTGATTCTGTCATTTTGATGGGTAAAAATACTTTGATGAAACGTGCTCTTAAATCTTACATTCAAGAAACTGGTAATGATACCATTCAACCTCTTATTGGCCTTCTCCAGGTATTTAAATCCTGTTTTTTTGCCTGTAAATTTTTAAAATTTAAGTATTTATGATTATTTTTAATGTTATGAAAATGGGTTGTGATTATATTTTCTGGGTTTTTTTTGTTTGATTTTTCAGGGGAATGTGGGTTTGATCTTTACTAAGGGTGATTTGAAGGAAGTTCGCGAGGAACTTGGCAAATACAAGGTTTAAATTTTTGTTAGGGTTTTTACGTTTAGTTTGAAGCAATTATTCTTATTATTTCTGATGTTTTTTTTTGAATAAATTTGGATTATTTTCTGTTTATTTATAGTGTAATATATAATGGCTATAATGGGGTTGATTATACTGTTATTTGTTGGTCTCAAAAAAAAAAAAAATACTGTTATTTGTTAAGCAAGGATAAATTTGAGAAGAGATTTTTAATCTTAAGTTTGGTAGGATCGGAATCTACATGTTATTGTGACCTATATATCTAATGTCACAAACTAGGGTCATGAATGCATAATTATTTAGAAATTTTGTTGATCTAAATCATTCTTTTGTCGTGCTTAACATTCATGAATTTATCACATCTACTAATTTAGCATGAAAGATTTGCTTTATTGCATTTATAAAACATGAAAAATATATGTTTGAATATTGCCACTGTTTAGATTTAAGTAATTTGTGAAGGACATCATTTGCTTGAGTCATTAAGGGAGTAAATTTCGAACTCGCCTTTTGTGTTCACTAGGTTAAAATCCCGTGCATACAGTTGTTAAATATTTTTGACAATAATATTACAAAAGATGAAGTATATAAAAGATATGCAGAAATATATCATTTGGGTATATATGGAATATGATTCTTAAACGAGAAAGAAAATATTATAGGCTATAAATAGTTTACTTATTGATTTTGCAAAAAAAAAAAAAAAAAAAAAAAAAGGAAAAAAAAGAAAAGGCAAAAAAGGCGTAATTTCAAAAGGTAATGACAAGTGTTATGAAAGGATTTGCTTTTTAGTATGGGTTAATAGATGGGTGGTAATTCATATGGAGTTAGCTTCAGCTAACATCGATCTTAAATTTAACATCTTAAGTTGATACATATATACATCTAGCTAGTTTTCTCCATTTCTATTACAAAATCTTGTATATGCACCTTTATAACTAATTTATGTGACTTGAGAAAATAGGTTTTTAAGTTTGAATTGTTGTGAAGATATACTAACTACAATTATTAGAATAAGTTAGCTAAATGACAATGTAATACACTACTTAGTATATAACAGATTGAAATTGTTAAATAGTAAGGACATACAAAACAACTTCTTCATGCACGTATATGATCTAATGTTAATGGCTATTGGTTGTAGGTTGGTGCACCAGCTCGTGTTAACCTCGTTGCTCCTGTAGATGTTGTCATACCACCCGGCAACACCGGGCTCGATCCATCCCAAACCTCCTTTTTCCAGGTCAATTTGTTCATCTTGAAGTTAAATTGATTTTGAAGTTTTCCAATTTAAGTAATTTTTTTAACCTTAGATTCTATTTTTTGGTTGAATAGATTCTGAACATCCCAACCAAAATTAACAAGGGTACAGTCGAAATCATCACTCCTGTGGAGATCATTAAGAAGGGTGACAAAGTGGGTTCATCTGAGGCTGCGCTTCTTTCCAAGCTTGCAATCAAGCCCTTCTCTTATGGTCTTATAGTCACGATGGTTTACGAGGATGGTTCGGTGTATGATCCGGAGGTGTTAGACTTGACAGAAGATGATCTCGCGGTTAGGTTTGCTTCTGGGCTTGCTAATGTCACTTCACTCGCCCTCAGTATCTCGTTTCCCACCCTTGCCGCTGCCCCGCACATGCTCATCAACGCCTACAAGAATGTGCTGGCTGTTGCTGTTGCCACTGATTACTCTTTCCCACGAGCTGAGGAAGTTAAAGAATACCTCAAGGTTGGTTGCTTTGCTTCTCCTATTTGGTAATTGGTTTGCATATTAGTGCTTGATTAACCTTGTATCTTGTTATTTCGAGGAACTCCTAGTTGATCTCGGGATTGGAGTAAACTATAAAGTCCAATCCTTTAGAATTTTCCAACATTACCCCTACTTTTAGTAAAGGAAAACCCCAAAATACCCCGGTAAATCTGGCATTGGTGTTAGTTTGATCTAAAGTGATTTTTATCATTGCTCATGAATTCATGTTACATGTTCAATGTGTGCAGGATCCAAGCAAGTTTGCTGCTGCAGTATCTCCAGTGGCTTCTTCTACCGGCGGTTCTGCTTCTGCCGGCGCTCCAAAGGAGGAGGAGAAGAAAGAAGAATTAGAGGAATCCGATGATGACAACATGCTTAGCTTGTTCGACGATTAGGGTAGTTTCCTTACCACGCAGATATCATTAGTCAAGTATAATTAGGTGGGCTGGTTTTTCATGTTTTTGGGTGTTGACCAAAACTTCTGTTTTCTACTTTTCTTTTTCTTCCTGTTTTAGCCTGCCTATGTGTGCTCTGGACTTTGGTAATCTACTCTCGAAAACTATTTCATATCATGTTCTACGAAGTACGGAGTAGTGAATTTTTATTATCAGTAAAAACTCGGTTTATCTATTGGGTAAATTATCCACACCACTAATCGCAAACCGAGTAAATGATTGGATTTTAGTAATAGTTCTGGGTGGCCAATGCATTGAGGCCGAATTTATAAATTTGGAAGGCCCACTCATTGGCCCAATCCAGAAGCAGTATTATTTTTTATTACAGTTTTCAGCCCAAAAATTAAGTTAAAAAAGTAATTTAATTTAATTTTAATTAATCACTATAAGTGTACAACATTAATACACCTGATCACAAATCTCCACGTTATTATTCCCATAAAATCACAACCGTCCACCTTTACATAAACCTATAAACCCTACTTATATAATCAACCATTCATTCATCATCAATCATCTCCTACATTTTCAACGTTTTCTCTGTTGTTACCCAACATTTGTTGATCATCTTAATCTTTCAAAAATGGCAGTCCTAAAAAAAGCCGCAAAATCAAAGATGGAGAAGAAAGAAAGGTACAGTGATAAGCTCAAAAAATTGATCGATGAATACTCTAAGATATTAGTTGTTTTAGCCGATAACGTCGGCTCGAATCAACTCCAACAAATCCGTCAAGGTTTAAGAGGTGATTCTGTCATTTTGATGGGTAAAAACACCTTGATGAAACGTGCACTTAAATCTTATATCCAAGAAACTGGTAACGAAACTATCAGACCACTTCTGGACCTCCTTGCGGTAATTTTTTTTTACCATTTTGTTGTGATTTAATCAAAATATGATCATTAGAAATATTATGAACATGAGTATTAATTATTTTTGTGGGTATTTTTTGGTTTGATTTTTAGGGGAATGTAGGTTTGATCTTTACTAAAGGTGATTTGAAGGAAGTACGTGAAGAACTTAGCAAATACAGGGTAATATATTTTTGCTTTGATATTTTTTTTAACGGATATTTTTGTTTTGATTATATATATATTTACGTTTAGTTTAAGCTTTTTGGTTGTATAAAAAATGTGGTAACTATAAATCTAGCTTGCATAAAACAGGGAATTTTTTGGAAAAAATATTTTCCGTACATAACAAGTTAGCATGGTATTTCCTTGATTAGTTTGTTTTAATTTCATAGGTAAAATTATGTGGATCAGCTGAATTAGTGTCATCTATATGAGATTTACTAGATATCTGTTAGCTCTAATCTGTACTTATTTAATATTTATCCTGGTAACTATTCTAGTGTGAAATCTTAAGTTTCTCATCCTAAGTATTGATCGATTATGTGTTGCAAAAATAAATTATCTAATGGCTCAAATTAGCTAGGTTATGAAGTTATAATTTAGAAAGGTTAATAAGCTTTCATCAATTAAAAAAATGACACAATAAATAAACAAATAATGTGATGTGAAAAATGATAGAATAGACACCCCTTATATTAAAGGGTACTTTTGTAAAATTATATCACACTCTTGATTACGGGGGTAATACTTGTACATTGATTCATTTTAGATAGATCTAAAAATGCTTTGACATAGTTTGCAGTTATGAAGATTGTCTTTAAAGTTTATGCGTTAGGTTAGGTGCTACAAGAATAGTGGAGTATCATATTCTTCTTAACTTACTTTGCTTTTGCTTTTGCCTTTTTTTTTTTTTTTTTTTTTTTTTTGTGTGTGTGTGTAACTTGGTGGTGGTCCATTTTGTGGAATTAGCTAGTACTCCCTTCGTTTCATAATGTTAGTCTCATATATTATTTTGGTCGTTTCGAAAAGATCTACCCATATTAGATATGTTTCATTTTTAACTTAATTTTTTTTGGAATTAATTGGTTGTGGATTGATGATATAACTCTAATTAAGGAAATCTCTACCTTGAATTATGCAATTATGACTTATGCTTTCCCAAAAAAAATTAAAAAACTTAAATAAGGTATACAAATTCTTAAATGAACCTGGTTCACACAAATTTATTGTGAACCACTGACATTAGAGATACTATGATTGTTTTATTAATAAAAAACAAAAGGTCACTACATTAAAATAAAGGTGATTATGTAGAAATAAAAGCGATTGTGACATTATAAAAGCTATAAGAGATTAATTTTTTGGGATGTAAACAAAAATAACATTAAAGGTCACATAAGTTTTAATAAAGGTTACTATGTTAAAAAATAAGGATACTACGTTAAAATTACGGTCAATATGTTCTAAATAATGTTAGTTCTGCGTGTATATAAATCTCAAGTTCACAATAATATTATTGTGGATCAGGTTCACGCAAGAATTCTGAATAAGATAAACTAATTATAAATTGTTTTGTACTTTAATGTTAGATTCCAAAAATTCTTCTTTTCTTATTTTATGTGATTAATTCCATATGAGATTAATATTATGAAATGGAGAGATTACAATATATCAAGTTTTTAATGGTTGTAACAAAAAAAAAAAGTGTTTATCTAACTAAATCATGTTTATACAAGTATACCGTGTAAGTTATATCATAATGAAAATTTTAATACGAGTAGCTAACAAGTTATGTCCTTGAACTACACTTTCATGTTTTATTGATGATTTGTCGTGCTCAATGTATGTCAAAACCCGTGGCTTCATAATTGCGTACGTCATATTTTCATTGACGTGTGTAATTCATATGGTTTGATAAAGTTGTGGCCAATGTCAAAAAACTAACTACTGATGTCACAAACCAAAAAAAAAAAAAAAAAAAAACCTAACTAGAACATTCTCTACTATTGTCCAAATATTTAATTTTTTTTAAAAAAATGTGCTAATATAATGTTGCTACTATATATCTGAGGGTGTGATCATACCAGTACTATTACGAATGCACCGAATCCCATTAGAACTTTGTAGTTAAGCGTGTTTGGGCGAGAGTAGTATTAAAGTAGGTGATCTTCTGAAAAGTCCTCATGTTGCACCGCCCATTTTAATTTAAATGTTCAAGCTTATCAGTAGCCTAATAAAACATTATCTTTTGTATCAAAGATCATGGATTCTAATCTCTTGTCCAACATTCATATTATTTTTTTTTAACAAGGCCTTATACTAAAAGTTGTCTAAAGTTCTCTACTTTCATTATGAAGTGTCTAGTTGTCTACTTTCTAATGAGCTTTATGATAAAGGGTACTCTTGATTTTATGTATGCCTTAAAATATCATAAATTGCTAATTGTTCACCACATAAAGCTAAGCTTAGTTATAATTTTGTCCTTTTACTTATTAATCTAACTAATTGGAAGGGTCAATTAGTTTAGCTTAAGCAATTTTATCTTTTTTTAACCTGTATTTTACCTTTCTAATGTGTTGTACATCGTAACTATTAGTTCAATCATTGCACCTAAACTTTTGGGCGTGGTACTTAGACTAGAGTTTAAATCTTGTCTAACATCATTTGTCATTTACTTTAAAAAATTAAAATTGGCATTGCTTTTAAGTGTCGTCTTTTATAATTTGAGTGGTAATAGATTACTACTATAGTTCATGAGAACAAGTCAATATATTATGAAGTAACTGTTAGTTGATGGTTCTTCATCTATGGCCTTATGTTAATGGTTTTGATTCTAGGTCGGAGCTCCAGCTCGTGTCGGCCTCATTGCTCCGGTTGATGTTGTCATTCCACCCGGAAACACCGGACTAGATCCCTCCCAAACCTCCTTTTTCCAGGTCATTGACGTTCATTTGATTTTGTTTAAAGTTCATCAGTTTTATGTTTGTTTTAACCTTAGACAACTTTGTTTATATTTGAATAGTTCTGAACATCCCAACCAAAATTAACAAGGGAACAGTCGAAATCATCACCCCAGTAGAGATCATTGAGAAGGGTGACAAAGTGGGTTCTTCTGAAGCAATGCTTCTAGCTAAGCTTGCTGTCAAACCCTTTTCCTATGGTCTTGTTGTCGAGAAGGTTTTCGAGGATGGTTCAGTCTATGATCCTCAAGTATTAGACTTGACTGAAGATGATCTCACCGAGAAGTTTGCTTCTGGCCTTGCTAATGTCACTGCTCTCGCGCTCAGTATCTCGTTTCCTACCCTTGCAGCTGCTCCTCACATGTTCATCAATGGTTACAAGAATGTGTTGGCTGTTGCTGTTGCCACTGATTACACTTTCCCACAAGCTGAAGAAGTGAAAGAATTCCTTAAGGTTAGTTGCCTTGTTTTTTCCCTTCTTGTAAGTATGTTTGTTATTGCTTGATTAACCTTAAAAACGCATTCTCATTAATATGAGGAACTCCTAATTGATCTCGAGATTGGAGTAAAACTTAAAAGTTGTAATCTTTAATTTTATTTTTTTTATTCTGAAACTACCCACATATTTAGCTAAGGAAATCCCCAAAATACTCCCGGGATTGGCCTAAAGATTTATGTTTTGTTCCCTTGCAATGTTTATGGCTCGTTTATGTTTCACTTACATTTTTGAGTATGTAATGTGTGCAGGACCCAAGCAAGTTTATCGCTGCAGTAGCTCCAGTGGCTTCATTTACTAGCGGTGATGCTTCAGCCGGTGCTTCTAAGGAGGAAGAGAAGAAGGAGGATTCGGAATCAGATGAAGATAACAACATGCTTGGCTTGTTCGACGATTAGGGTACCACGCGGATAGATGGTTGCATGTTTTGTGTGTGTTGAGCATAGCTACGGTTGTTATTCGTGTTTTAGTCAGCTTATGCTAGTGACATTGCATTAGTTTAACCATTCGCAATTTTTTGAACAATTGTGTTGTGGTTAGTCAATGAAAACAATATGTTCTATCTATCATATCTATGTATGCTCCAGTTTTACATTGTGTTGTATTATGTTTATAAAATTCTGTGCCTGTTAATCTGTTATTGTTTTGTACTTTTTAAATCAAAAAATTATGGTAGTCATTGCTGTTTATGAATAGTATAAGTTGGACATAACTCTATATGTCAAGTTACAAGTGTACAACTAGTACATCCCATCATAAAGAAAAAAAAAAGTACTAGTAGTAGGCTAAATAAGCAAATTATCAATATGTCAATTTTAAACAAAGTGTTTTAACCTCAGTAGAACTCTTGCAAATTTATTATTACATAATGTCAAAGTGTCAATTGTTCAATCAAAATTAAAAATTCATAGTTATGCCATTATGATTTTTTTTTTTTAAAAAAAGTTTTCATGTTGACTGCCCATTTTCCTTCCATTGTTCATGTGGGTGCATTATAAGTCTAACCAGAACAATTTACAATTTGAAAAATGGAAAGATAAAAATTAACATCTTAATAAGCGGGTTTATTAACGGATGTATATATTTTATTTAATAGTGACAAAAGCAAGACAAGTAGAAAAATTCTTTCATTGCTAGCAGGTTAGTTTATAGGACTCATAGGAGTATAGGACACAAGTGTTAGACTATGAATGATGTTTGATGGTTCGTGGATAACTATAGATAAAGCAGGGGAGGGAGGCATAATTCGCTGTCACAAAGTATCAAATTGGCTTCTCTCTGAAGCTAAAAACTCTAGGGGCTGCCTTTGCAGAGCTTATTGCAATAAGGGATGGAGGGTTTAATCATGGCATTGGAAGAACCATAAAATTACTCGAAATCGAAACTGATGTTCAGGCTCTAAAATATATGCTAGAAAACCTTCAGGCTATTTGGATCAATAACTGGCTGTAATATAGTATCTACAACTGACTTTGGCATGGAGATTCATGAACATCACCATAATACAGTGTTTTGCACATTGCTGTTCACGAGGTTCATAAGTATCTCAGTTATTTCATTTTCAGATAGATGAAATGTTTTTTTAACCAGATTACTGGCAATCATAGGCATCATAGCACATCCCATAGAGACTGATACTGCAATGACTAACAATATTTTGTACAACATTATCCTCAAGGTTCCAAAACCGTTTATCAGCACACTGTATTCAAGAACATACACAGAGTTCTGCAGAGTAAATTTTTTTGGTGCATCTGCAGTCCATGTATGGCTAATGGTTACCAATAATGTTCATATTTATTGACATACAAATAAATTGTATGAGCAGGTTAAGTGCAAAATTTCAGTTGGGCTAATTCATTCGTACTTTCTTATTATTCTTCTACATGTGATATAGTTTAGTATATAAATGCTATATGTTGTATAATTAGTTTCCAATGCATCTGCACCTAAGATGATCCTTTCTGCTGGGGCCTGCTATTAAGCCGCCGTATAACTCTATCTCCACAGACCATATGATCTATGGATGGTGAATCCCGCAACCTGTGAAGATCTGAAAACTGCATCGAAATTAAACAAACGAAGTTTTAGTGTATGTGAGTCAACAATATGTCTCAACTTTAGGTGTTTGATTTTAAGGCATCACTTTCTGAATAGATTATGATCACATCAACTCTAGACTCACTGAGTCAATGTGCTTAATGTAATAATGTAATAGCCTGTCATGTCATTTGAACTTAATTTTAGACAAGTTATCCTATAAGATAATGTATAATTCTTCCACTTTGTACAGCTAGATGTAGTAAAATCTATAAAAATGGTTATATTACCTTCAAAATTTTGAGGACCTTCAAGCTGTGTTAGATTTTTCGACTATATAGGACACTGACAGAATTTGATTTAATTATTGGAGACAGTTGCGGAATAAACGAACTCCCTGTACCATTCAAAGCAGGCAGGATGAGCATCTAATACAGATAATGATATTTTGACAAACAAACTTTCAAGGTTTTAATAATAGACCTGCAGTGCAAAGGTAATATCTGATGCATCGACTTTCAAAGATAGTTTTTCTCCTTTCTGAGACCGAACAAGCTTCAGCAGTCCCTGCAGAACCAAGAGCCTCAGAGTATTAATATCAGTTATCTGAAACAGCCAAATAGCTGAGTTGGACATTAGAAGATAAATTACCTGGTCATTCAACGCTTTGCACATACTTGACAGCTCCATGATCCCTACAGACCTCAGTTTAGCAGATTTGCATATGGCTTCATATGATTTATTCAGCTGTACAAAAAAATAATTTCAATATGAGTCAACAAATCTGCCTCGGAACAACATTAATGGCACTGAATAGAAAAGAGATATTACCTCTCCAACAATAGACTCTTTTTTCCCCTCACGGAAAAGCTTGACTGCCGAGCAAAGAATGATCTATTGCCAAAACAAATGTAAGAATAAGTTTAACCTTGCAACCATTGGATTACTGAATTTAAAGCACGAGAATGGTATATATAGAGTAATATAGTTAATTCATTTTACATCCCTTAGATAAGCCATGCTATTTTGCAGTTACTAGTTACAGTGGTCCAACTCAAGCAACTTACATCAGCTAGAGGCTTTTTTTCTATAGAACTAAGTATCAAGTAGTCCGTGACTCCGTGATAAGCACTTTCATGGCCTACCCAGTGCTTTCTCAAACAAATTTTTTTTATTCAACATCCAAATGCCGAAGTTGACAGATTTGGATTCCAACAAGACAATTTAAATTTGAAGATATCCCCAACATAACAGGCAAAGATGGTATATACTGACAATTTCACTTAGAAAACTTAGAGACATAATTTAACATACACAACATTAGGCTGAATAGATCCCTTTATTAGCAAAATATGTTGATGGGATTGCAAAAGGAAATACAGAGAAGCAAAGAGCAAATCAAAGACATACCTGTTGATGTTGAGGAAGAGACTGTATGGTCTCCACTACAGGGGATCTATAGGTCTTTGACAAAGCAACTGCCATATGATGTATTTGTACCTGTAATGAAAAACAAAGTCAAAGGTTATAGACATGTCAAGGTAGTAGTAAAAGAGGAAGATGCTATCAGGAGTTCTATAATTGGGCAAAGTAAGGTAGAAGAAAGCTTGAAGACTTACAATGTCGATCTCCCAGAGGACAGGGGTAGCTGGAACATTTTCTTGGTCAGAAGATCCATTCTCACTAGAAAAATTATCAAGATTACTTGCTTTCTCCTTTATCTCTGATTCTAGAATTTCAATTGCACATCTGGAAAAGAGGTTTGAGATGAACATTCAAATTCCAACAGACCATATATAAGGATCAAACCTTATGAAATCACATAGCATGGATAATATTTGATCAGTTTGCCAATTAGCAGCTAGAAAGCACAAGCTGCCAAATCTGAATCATAAAAGAACCAATCAACCAATATGTACAGGTTTCAGATCCTTTTGCGAGCTATGATACCCAGATTTACCCAATCCACTAGTGGTAATATAACAGCATGCAAAGGACTAAGTCTGAACTACTGCAGGTAGAAATTTGCATTGTATGCCACTATATGTTCTTATGCATCAACTGAAGACTACATGACTATCCATTTTTTTTTAATTATTATTTCTAGAAGACAACTGTCTATTACAAACTGAGGCAGTGCTTTTATGTAAGAAATGGAAGCCTAGCAATTTGTGTTAACATATACAACTTATTTTTTGACATCTGAAACTCTGCGTACATTTGCCCTAGATTGCAATCTTTTATCCTGAATCCGAATACCAAATGAAAAAGATATTAAGATTATATTGTGCGAGTAAAATACTAGAATTCACCAGGAGCAATAAACAACATTGAAAAGCACAAACCTGCAAACACTTAAAGCTTTCCTCATGTCTCCTGATGCAGCTGCAACTTTCTGTCATCAAAGCATTGCAAATGTCAGATGTTAGGATTAGACATTATTTTTCAACACTAAATAACTCTGATACCATATTATATTATTTAAAACATAGTAGAGACAGTAATCAAACTTCCATATGAAGGATAAACAAAATTATTTAAAACATAAATAAACATTTTTTGGCCCATATAAAGTGTGCATTTAACACCTCTAAATGTGCCTTGTACAAAATATTTACAAGCTTCCTGTTTTATTGAGCGATTTGAAATAATATCAAAATCCAAGAAGATGTAAAAAGACTCACTCTTGCACAAAGTTCCAAGGTTTGTGGCTGAAAGACTGTGTAAGGAAGTGCCTGCTCGAGAAAAGGAAATTCCTAGTAAGGAGTCATCCTAATTGTTTTTCTTTAAAACAGTTCTACCTCTAGCATGTTCATTTCATGCATGCCAATCACTAATGAGAAATGAACTAACCACAAGCCGCTCCTGAAGAATCATTTGTATTTGGTCCTTTGAGTAAGCCCGGAATGTCAAAACAGAAGGTTTACCTGGCATCAGTGAGCAGTATTAGTAATCGGCATGAAAGATTGGGAGGCATCCCCTTTTCTTTCAGTCATTTTACAAGCTTGTAATGGCAAAAACTTAGAATGCCAAAAGGTCAAAAACATTTGGTTAGAGTAGAATTTGCCAAAGGCCCAAAGTAGTTAATCATTAATGTCCCACAAGTTGACCATTTTATTACTTCTTTTGAGATCGAGTACAACAGACTCTCAACATTCAAGGAAGAGAAGAAAAATAAGTTGTTTTTACAACTGAGAACACTGATGTTATTTGACTAAACCAATTCTAATTCAGCAGGATGGTCATTGCAGCACTGAATAAGTTATGATCAGCTTGCTGCTTATTGAAACTTCAGCACATAACCATAAAGAATTCGAATATGGCACATGGTTGAAGAATGATGTCACATCAAGCTCAGATTTAGTGAACACATTCTAAGCAAGAAAATGCAATAGAAACAATAAGAACTTACAGTTCAGTGATTGCAGTCGAGGAAGAAATCGGTCTGCTAGATCTATTGCATTGGCAATGCCTAAAAGGAGTTTAATTAGATGAGAAGCATTACAAGATCCAGTGCTCAAAAGTCAGGACAAGGTCTTTGATACTAGGGAAAATAGATAAATTTCTTTTCAGCAGTACCTATTAATATACATCTAGAGAATGGCAGTGCAGTGAGCATAAAAAGTTCGTGAAGTACTTCACGATCCTTAGTAATTAGATAATCCAGCTCATCAATAATTAACAACCTGATGAATTGGAAAATTATGAATTAGTTATGACCACAAAACTGAAAGGCTTTCATGTACAACATTTCAGATAGGCTTCTTACATCATTTTGTTGCCTAGATTTCCATCTTGGGCATAAAGGTTTTGTATGTGCTTTAGAGCAGTAGTTGAGCCACTAATCTTCTTCCTTGGTTGAACATTTTGAAGTATCTTCCAAAAACAGATGACAATTGAATAATGTGTACAGGATAAAATTTAAGAAAACTATGCTCGCTTATGATATATATATACCTTGGTAAAGATATCAGAGGACTTTGATAGAGAAGTACAATTCATAAATACGACATCCGGTTGCTCAATATCTGCCTGGACAATAAAGATGATTTTAAAAAATGAGCATTAGGTGGAAATAGCAAATGCACTTGACATATTAAAAAGGCCAATCATCCATATCAAGAGCGCTAAGAAAAAGCCAAGATTACACAGAATAAATCAGGTTGTACCTAAAACTTTAGCAAAATGATGTTTCACTGAATCAAAATTCATATAATCGGCTGCTTAGTATCTACTTGCAACTTGCATTGTAGTTAGATATTACCAATTACTTAGAATTAGCATGAACCATAGAGGGAAGAGGAAGCACTTCATGAAATTGAACCTAGAGAATATTGTAAATTGAGCTTAAAATAACATTGCTTCATCAATCATCTACCTAAAAACCCTCATTAGCACCTTAACTTCAAAAGATGATAACAAATTTCCTTTCAAGAATCATATTTCATCCAACTTTGGAGAATAAACTGCTACAATGAATTCTGAGCAAAGAAGAAATCAGAAACATAATATTAATCCAAATTAATCAATAACGTGAACATCAAAAACACAATCAAATTGATCAAATAGTTTCTTAAACTGCAATCATTATAAAACATCGACATTATTATAAATGTAGCTCACCTCGTTTGACCAGCTAAGCAAAGATTGCTTAACCTTATCCATAACCATAGTCTTTCCAGTCCCAGGGCATCCACATATATATAAACTCCCTGCTTTCTGACTCTCCACACTGGTCTTGCAAAATTCTAGAACCTTCCTTGATTCATCTTCTCTACACACCACACTTGACGGTGAGGTCGACACATGCAATGCTTCTTTCACAACTCTCATTTGCTCAAAATCTATTCATTAATCCATATAATTCAACAAATTAGCACTTTCATGAGAATTTGATTATGAACCATAATCAACTAATTTGTATACAGAGTATGTTGTATAAAAATAACCTACATTATTTAACAACTTAAACTAAACTTATATCTAATCTAACAACTTATATTGCACCAAAAATAATCCACAATTAACTTAAACATAATTCAATTCAATTTATCCATATAATTCATCAACATAAGCTCTTTCCATCCAACATAACACCAAAATTTCACTTACGTCTGAATCATCAACCAATATCAACTATAAGCTGTATGAAAATAATCTAAATTTAGAACAACTAACACTAAACTTATACTTAACCTAACAAATGAAATTGCACCATAATTAATCCACAATTAACCTCATTCAATTCAATTGTTAAAATTTAAGATTAGCTAATATACAAGTCATAATTGATGTTCTACAAAAATTGAAGTAATTGTTAAACAAATGCTACTGAATTTACAAAATTAAAGAAATTAGGAGATAGAAATTAACCTCTTGGATTCCATTTAGGTTTAGCAAATAAATTATCAGACGATTTCTTCAACGGAGATCGGCTCGAGGTATCAAGCTTTTCGCTAAATTCCTTCTCAATTCCCTGCACCAAAAAAACAATTCAAAATTCAAATCCAAAAAACAAAAAAACTATAGTAAATCGAGTTGAAGAACCCTAAAACTGACATTTGAAGGAGATTTCGGACTACTGTTTTTACAACGACGAGGAGATTTCCACTTCGGCGGAGGTGTCGCCGGAATATCATCCTCCGGCGTAGAGTTTGACCTGAGCCGTCTCTTCGGCGGCGTTGCGCCGGGAAATGCTGACGTGGCGCGATCGGCGATTGTCGGCATTGTTAGGGAGATTGTAGAAGAGAGAGAAGTTGGCGTGAGTTTAGAGAGAGAAAGAGAGGAAGTGAAGTGAGATGAGGAGAGAGAAAGTAGAAGAAATGGATCTGAAGAAAAAGAGGAAGGAGAGTATAAAAATGGTGAAAAAGAGAGAAAGAGAGTTCGCGGGAAATTGAAAATGGCGGAGAAGGTGGGAGACTGTTTTGGCGCCAATTAGAGAATTGAGTGGGTTTTTTGGGCGCTTATTCTATGTCAAATTTTGATTTTTCCTGGATTATGTCCGCATTGCTTGCTGTCTCAGTTTTGGTCATGTTGACTTGTTTCTGTTATCGCGTTTGCTAATGTATAAAATCAGTCATAAATTTATTTGATTAATAAATAAAAATTATACGAAATAAGTGGGTATTACTCACATTACGTTTAGAAATAATTCAACATAATTATCTCACATAATTATTTTTTTATTTAAGCTATAACTCACAAAAGTTACTAGACAAAGTAGTACATAGTATTTGTTAATATTGTCCAAGAATCAAATAGTACGTCAACTAATTTAAAATGAATTATGAATAATTACTCTATATAAGAATGATAGTGTAACAAAATATTGATTGGGCTTGTGGGGTTTATTCAATAATTAGGGTTGGAGGACTTGGAGCTTCAATGTTTTATGGGCTTGTAACCCAAATTTTCAAAACACATAAAGGGAAGGATTCTGGATTAATCTTGTACAACTGTAGAGTAGTATCTACGCACCATCTCATCTAGAATTGGCTTAATATTGTCCTATTATTGGCTTAATGCAAACTCTGTAATACATTTTCTAGAATATCTACCCCTTATTATTGACTTGAAATCTTCAATTAATTTGAAATTGACATGTTATAACTGTGTATAGGAGTATTTTGGCTAATAAGGCGGTGTTTTTATTGGGAAAAAATAGACTTATTTAAGATCGTTTATATGGTCTTCTAACACACTTCTTTTTAATTTATGTTTGTAACTAGTAATGGGGTGTTTTCATGATAATATACCCTAAATATCTACTGAACATAGTGAACAAATAAATGTAATATGTAAAATTAAAGGTGTTATATGTATGAAATAAATTTTATAAACTTGTGGAGAAAATTATAACTCCATAAGCCCCTAAAGAAAAATCAATTCATTACAACTCACAAGTTGAAGATCAGATGATAAAGTGACAATTTATAGCTTCCTAGATTAAATTTGTATATATATACGATGATATTTGTTATGAATCAAAATATCCGAACAACTTGGGATAGTCGTCAGACATATTTGTATGCCATTCTTAAATTCTCTTCCTCCATGAATTCAATATCTTCAAAGTTCCAAGGATAATACATTGATTGAATTGCTAGCCAGGAAGCTAAGATAGATTCATCGATAAGACGGTAACGTATTTGGAGCTACTCCATCACATCAAATCATATACTTTAAACAACAAATGAAGCCCAAAAAATCAATCGCAGTTTTTATTTCTAATTATATTTGATATACATATCGTAAGCTCTCTCAATCAAACCTTGATGTTAACTAATAAAGGGATTTTCGTGTAAATAAATAGTGTAATAATGGATACGAAATCAATAAAAAGATGTTGCATGAAGACATTGAGAAGAATGGCAAAAGAAAGAGCCCAATGCACTAGGGCTTGAAAGTGTAAGTCCATAACCAACCGACTCTGGCCCCATGCATTGTTGGTCCCTTAAACGACCATGCATGAATGACATTGACTACATGCATGTTCATTGTATTGTCAAAATTGTAATAACGTACCCGATATGACCTTTTTTTAGGACTCGTCTTTAGATATTTTTATTAATCACAAAAATATCTTCGACTTTTTAAAAATAGTCTATCACGTATTAAGGGTATTATTATTAATTCACCTATTTCGAAAGAAGATAAAAGAGAATGCTCCAAGGAAGAGGGAATATTGATATCAATTGATTTGTGGGGCTTAACTTGTAAGGAAATTAAAATTAATGAATAAGACCTTATGAGTGAAAAATAATTATTATAGTTGTTAGTGAAGGATGAGGAGATAAGAAGATTGGCGTGGTTTAAGCGTCTGCATGTCATTGTCTTATGCATGGTGTTCCATGTGGTCACGACATATATGTGTAATTAAAATGATATTAATGTTCCGATCCAAAAAGAACTTTGTTAGATTATATTGTTGCTATAATACACGTACTACATATATAGATTATATACATTGAATTTTCCGAAAAAAAAATTCTTCATTTATTTCTTTGATGGTGTTATACATCCTCCATATATGTATAAATAATCAACAATACCATCAAATCAATTTTAGACGACGAATGTTCCATAGATATATATATATATATATATACCATGTCTAGTTGTCTACATTGGCCTCAGCTCGAGGTCCATGCAATTGATGCATCAACATCGAGGGTTACAACAATGTAGGGCTAAGAGATAGAGATCAAATGACGGATGTGATGAATTAATTTGATTTAACTAGCTAGCTAAAATTATTTTTCATTTTCTAAAGCGATGTTATGCACTCAATTCTAAAATAAACAACAGGTTAACAAAGAAGTCTGGTATGATGATTATGCAAATGACTAGATGTTTTATTTAATAGTTATCAGATATATCACCAATAGTGCCATTTAATTATATATGACATACAATAAACGTTTTGATAATTGTTAATATATAACGTACGTAAGAAAACATCTCGTCGAATAAAATTGTAAGAAAGCCATGACATCCATGACTTATGAGATTACATGGAGTCATATACTAGCTATAGAATATAGATAGATAGAATCATAGAAGTATAGAATGCATGTACATCTCTTCGAACTTAGAACGTTTTATTTTAAAACGTTAATGTCCGTATGATTCATCTAAATTTTCAGCCTCAAACTAAAAGGAAAATAATACAATCCAATAATGTGTTAAAACAAAATCGAATTTGTAACTCACTAATAAATAATTGAACTTCATTACTAAGCTAAATGAAATTCGTGGCCCAAATTTCATATTGACGCATATAATGTGCTTCACGAGCCAAGATAGAACTTATTACTACGTGTATACGATAGAGCTGAGCATACTATACTACGTGTGTAATCCAAGAAAGGAGGAAAAGGAGAGAAAATTGATTTTGTAATTCAATCTTTTTTTTTTTTTTTTTTTTTTTTTTTTGGAGGCATCTGTAATGTGATTCACGTTTTGCTACTGTTTGGCTTCGAGAGTTTACTTATCAGAGGTTGAAAAGTTGAAGTGATTTTAAAGAAAGTGGATTAGCAACATTATAACAATAATTATGTCAAATCCTTGATTTCAATAGTCGTAGGATTAACGGGGTCGAAAAAGAAGCTAAGGTGGGTAAGATCCTACGAAGTATCAATTATATTTATTATTTATTTATTTATTTATTTATTTTATTTTTTACTGGAAGAACAAGGGTTTTATTTATTAAAGTTAATCAAGTATCACTTACAAACAATTTTTAAGAAATCTAAAATTCTAAATCAATCATATTTATCTTATTTTAAATAGAATAGATCTAAATAATATAAATTCATATAAAAACTAATTTCTAAAAACTGAATCATCGATTCACCAATAACATTTTGAGTAATTTTGTTTGTTTTAGTAGATCGGTTAATGTACCAAATTAATGTTCGTTCTCAGCCTAGGCAACTACTACGTACTTTTTTTTCCCAATAATGTTCTTAATTTTTTTAATGCGTAGTCTGTTAGTAGTCTTAGAACCGAGTATAATTATCTACTAGTGGGTAAATTAACTTTAGCTTGAATTTGACACAATGTATAAATTTATAAATTTAAAGTCATGCTGGTCCTGTGATTGAATAACAGTGTACTGTATTTCTCAATATTCTTCTGGTATTATTCAATTACCAGGCCACATCCCCTCAACTCATTATAAAGTCATAGCCCACCTGATCTCCATACCGAATCCCTGACCACAAGGAGTCAAGGTTTTTTTGTAAGGGTTTCCCCAGCTCAATCAATCTCGAGTATCCCATCATTCATTTAAGTATTGGCACATAACTTCTATTTACATGACAAGTAAATAGCAGCTATAAGACAAAAGAGTGGTGTTTTTTTTTCTTCTAGTGGTACAAATACTGTACCACTGTTACCTATAATGGCTATAAATAGTACTACTAAAACAACTTATACTCTATTAGTATAAAATACATGTATAGTAGTAGTACATTAAAAATACCACTGTAAGTATAATAGTACATTAAAAATACCACTGTAGCAATAAAAAATCACAAAAATTAAGTGAATTTACCAATTAGCTCTCCTATATGCATCCCAAACAAATAGCAACTATGCACCTAATTGCACTCTTCATTTTACAACTTTTTCGTATATATTAACCAATAGCAAGAACAATATACTTGAGCAAACTTTTAATCTATTTAAGAAAACTTGAGCAATATACTTGAGCAAAATTGTAATTCAGTAAATTTTCCGCAATTATTAAGAAAACTTATTTTGACACACTTTTAATCTATTTAACCACACTGCACACCTCTTGAGAGTATAGCATAGAAAATTACGAGTAATAAAGAACATTACAAAACGAAGTTGTTAGCTCTATTCTACGAGTATAAGTTTTAATGCACGGAGTAGTGACAAAATAAACGACAAAAACACTGAAAATGCAATTCACACTTGGTTAAAAATGATGTGCTTGAAGTACACATCAAATAAACACACAACTTAAAAACACGCCATGTGGGCCCGGACCCAAGCTTAATTTTAATAATAAGAACCTTCTGTGTTCGGAAAAATGATAGAATTTGTTATATATATCCGAGTATATTGTACACCCAATTAACCGAGGTTAGGTTTTGTTCTTCATTTAATGATAAAATGAAAAACGATCATCACAATGAAAACAAATATTCATGAGTGTACGGTACTCCCAAGTATATATAACAACCTCTCTAAAAATGATAGGGTGTTTAATTTTATTGACGGTCCATATTCATAAGCACCATGTGAACTCTGTAACCTCCCCATACTTGTGGATCCATTTCAACTACTTTCTTGTATTAGGCATGCAACTATGTATACGTGCATGCCTTCATTTTTTGTTTTTGTTTTTTTTTTTTGTCTTAATTTACAAGTGTACGTACTTCATCAATTGTACACTCATATATAGTTTCAGCTAAATTCCATATGAAACACATGGTTTTTCATGCCACGTATAGTAATTTGATCCCTAGATATTTATCATCAT